GTATGTAAAATATTGTAGTACTGAGAAGTATAGATCATTGAAGTATGTAAAATATCGTAGTACTGAGAAGTATAGATCATTGAAGTATGTAAAATATTGTAGTGCTGATGAGAAGTATATATCATTGAAGTATGTAAAATATTGTAGTGCTGAGAATTTTAGATCATTGAAGTATGTAAAATATTATGGTGCTGAGAAGTATAGATCATTGAAGTATGTAAAATATTATGGTGCTGAGAAGTATAGATAACTGAAGTATGTAAAATATTGTGGTACTGAGATGTATAGATCATTGAAGTATATAAAATATTGTAGTATATATCATTGAAGTATGTAAAATATTGTAGTGCTGAGAAGTATAGATCATTAAAGTATATGTAAAATATTGTAGTGCTGAGAAGTATATATCATTGAATTATGTAAAATACTTGTATAGGCTGCATTTGAGGAGATAGAATGTTTCATTTCAATTATGGTTGTTAAAAGTGTTTCACTTTTATGTTATGTTTTATCGTAGATATAAGTTCTGTATTGGCTTTTGTACATATTTCTCCTTGCTGTATCTACTTTTTCATCTTTTTTTTTGTTTTTTTTTTCTCTTTTTACTTTTACAATTAAAAAGAAATAATATTTGCAACTTTTCTATAAGAATATGAAGTATACCTAATTTTAACTGCATTTCAAGATCTTCAATATATTAACAATAATATTAAAATTATTTAAAATCTAATTCTAATATCCGTGATCTTATCCCTCTCCCCCCCCCCCCCCCCCCCCTATGGGGTAATTTATCCATGTCCTACTTAAGCAAAACATATCGGATTGAACATGAAATGTACGGGATAAAAAGTCCTGCACAAAAACGCAGATCTATTTCTCGATATGTATTTTTAAACAAAAAACATGGAGGATTAAAGTAGAGTAGGGTAAACATTATAGGAATGTGAAAGATAAGAAATTTGGGATTTACTTGTCAAATACAAGGCGCGAAAAAAAAAGTGGAAATTACGTGGAGTGTGATCAAATTTTGGAAAAATATTTTTTAAATTACAATTCGAAGTAAAAGTGTGAAGTAAACATTCAAGGAACAAAAACCGTCTGAAACATTTTAAATATCGTTTTCAAATAAATGTTATTACTCATGCTTCTAGAATTACATCAATGGAAAGTTGCAGTCGTATGTTTTAGGAATCTCTGTGCATAACTTTCAATACAGAAATCGGAACCTGAAAAAATTGGATATAAAACTCCAAAATTAACATAATGTTAATGTCCCTTATTTTTAAATATTTAGCCTATCACAAAGATCCAGAGAGCTGGAAAAGTATGCCAACATTTTCTGGACCCCGTGTCAAAACTTTGGCCTTTGATTTTACATTATTAACAATTGCCCTAGCTATGAACCTTAACAAACTAAAGCGAGCTTGTTTCTAGCTTTAGTTTGAATGGAGTAGTTGGCCAAATGCTAAAATATGTTTGCGTAAGAGCAGGCACAGTTGCAGACTTTGATTTACGTGTAATGAACATAACCTTAAGTAGCCATTTATTTTGTTTTATAAATGATTTACAAAGATTATTTATAAAAGTAATTTTAAAGTTTTACCTTAGAATTGGCACATTCTTTAGAAATGACTGGTTGAGTTCGTCGACAAAGTCAATTAAATAAATGACCTATAGTTAAACCCTAAATATCAAATACATCGAAAGAATTTATCAAATGTCGTCTTGGCAATTTTTTAAAGAGCTCCATATAATCATTTAATTAAAAAACTAAATATCTGCAACATTCTACTATCAGAAAGTGAAGAATACGACATTTGATGAATTCTTTCGATGTATGGCTTATTTAGGGTTTTTGTCTCTAAAAAATGGTAACTTTAGAGAATATCAGTACTTAAAGGGATCTGTCATAGTTTCTTCATTAAAGACTCAGTTTAAATATCGAGGACAGTCCTTTTATCTGTTTTTAATTAAATTCTTGAAATACAATCCCGTGAAGAAGGACAGGAAGGGAATTGTCGTTAAAAATTGTGTAAGCTGTAAACTGATCTTGTAAAAAATATAAGTTCTCCGTTATAGATCAAATTTTAATTTTTCAAGGCTGTTTTATATCAACAAATTATCGGAAATTTCTATGATTTATTACCTAAACTTTATCTTTTGATTTATGATATATTTATATCAAATGTTTCTTTAAAGAGAATTTAAAATAAGCAACTCTCCACACACACCCTAACAGGCTCAAAAACAGACAAAAACCGTGCCAGGTTTTAACTGCTCGATTAAAATACAGATGGTCGCCGATTATATCAATACAATAGGAACACAGCTTTGTCTGTAGCTTTTTCGAATTACAAGTTCACAAGTAATCAAAGAGAAGCTTTTTAATTGTAAACTTCTCTTTGAATTTCCATGTTTATATGTATCCATGGGGTTTAAAAGCTTGATAAAAATCTAATTCTAAATTTTAAGTCGTCTTCACTGTATTGATATATATGCGACGACGACTGTATGATAAATTATGTTTTATCTTATACCCCATTTCATGATCGGCAACTTATATATACTTTAGGTTTAACTGTTAAACTGAATGCCGTTTATTTGTTCGGGATATTACAGAATTTTTAAGTGCGTTTATATATTTTATATGCCTGGATAATTTTCTGTTTTCTGTGTGACATGTTTATATTGTCTCATGGCATTGGCCTCATTTATTTAAACTCTATATATAAGCTAAAGGGACTCCCTTTAAATACTCTAACTATTGATCAGGAGATAATCCAAGCATGACCTAAAAATCCAAATATTTCAAAATCTAAATAAAATCTAAAAAGACCCAGTCACCTACAGTGAGAGCCAGAAAACTCTGCATGGAATAGGAAGACGACTTTTAGACTCAAGTTATGACTCGATCGGGGTTTCATTAATTTATGTTTGAATAAATTATTACAAGAATGAACAGTTTAGAGTGGACTGATTGTTGTCGTCTTTAAATGTAAATTTATATTAAAAATTTTGTCTTAAAGTTTTATATTATAAATGTCGTCTTTAAATTTTATATGATAGATTTTGTCTTTACGTTTTATATTATAAATGTCGTCTTTAAGTTTTATATTATAAATGTCGTACAAAAATGTCATATTGATATGCGCGAAGTACACTGCAAAAAAAAAACTAATTTAAACAAGCCAAATCGTTTCTGTGTTTTTGTTGTCAAATTTCGAAAGACGACTTTTAAACACAACTTTCATTCCATTAATGTTGCGCTTGCTTAATTGTGGCTCACTAAATAATGTGAAGTTCTTAGTTTCCTTATTTGGAGGAAAGGGTTTGAAAAGTAGAGCAAAATCAAACTTTTTAACTGAACTAATAAGCCTCAAACTATTAGATCAACTCGAGTTCTAAAAAAATCCCCGCGGAGTTTTAACTCAAACCCGTTCTTTATCTGAAATCTTTTATTTAAGAGCTCAAAGATTATAACAATATAAGATTCAAGCACCACTATAGACTCAGACTGCTATGATAGGATAATGAAGAGAAATTAGACTAAATCATAGGTCTGTCAAAAATAAAGATCTATGTTTGATCCCGTTATTCACATTGTAACTAAGTGATTACTTATTTATAAAATATAACAAAAACATACAAAATTAAGTGTTTCAGGAGAAAATACTTAAAAACCTCCAAAAAAAGAGGCAACCTTTTTAACTCTTTCCTCTGCTATGGTTGCTTTTGATGACACCCTGCAACCTCATTTTTCAACATGGGACACTTGATGCAGCTCTCACTCTTATCTGTTATAGTTTCTCCGGTTATAGTTAATTTATGGGACACCCTTTACCTCTGTCTCATCTGTTATGTTTTAAATGAGTTCTGACAAGCTCTACTGCATATAGACACTAGTATATAGCGTATATAACCCCGGAGCAGAGTTTGCCCAACATATATCAAAGGTTTCTCCAACATATGATTTCATTCACATATCCAAGCTTCCCTGCATTCGAAAAAAAGTTTCTTTTTGTACAAAACCATTAAGTAAAGCTTTAAAATACTGTATTGCAAGCAGAAGAACGAATCGAACATTCAGATCGTCATACTTATAGAGATTTAGTTCTTCTGTTTAGTGTTTAGTCTTATATCCTTGGTGGGTGGGTAACCATGTACCTTTCAATAAAACTAAAATGGAAGAACAGCTAAAATCAAATTGAAAAATATCATTAATAAAGAACTAGAGAACTAGAGAACTAGAGAACTAGAGAACTAGAGAACTAGAGAACTAGAGAACTAGAGAGCTAAAGAACTATGGAGCTAAAGAGAACTAGAGAACTAGAGAACTAGAGAACTAGAAAACTAGAGAAATAGAGAGCTAGAGAGCTAGAGAACTAGAGAACTAGAGAACTAGAGAACTAGAGAACTAGAGAACTAGAAAACTAGAAAACTAGAGAACTAAAGAATTAGATAGCTAAAGAACTATAAAGCTATAAAGAGAACTAGAGAATTAAAGACATAGAGAACTTATGGAGATCTAAAGATTTAGAAATCTAGAAAGCAAAAGAAAACTGAAGAAGAAAAATAGAAAATGATTGAACTACAAAAACAGGAAAAACTTTCAAAGTTTTTACATTTTTATTGAAGATACTGATTAAGATGTAGAAATTTAAGTGGTTTCAGTTCGAGATGG